CCTGGCTTGTGCTTGCTTGGCTAAACCTGGTCTGGCCTTGGCTGAAATGGGCTTGGCTGTGCCCACCGCGGCCTGGCCTGCCAGCCTTGTCTGGATTGCTTAGAAATTGTTTCGTTTGAAATGGCCTGGCTTGGCCTGGCTTGGCCTGCCTGGGTTTGCTAGGTTTGAATTGGCCTGGTTAGGCTTGGCTAAGTTTCCTTCCGGCTTGAACTGCCTTGCCTTGGATTTTGCTAATCGGCACTGGTTTGACATGGTTTGCTCTTGTCTGGCCTTGTTTGGTCTTAGCTGGCACGGCTTAGACTGGCTTGCTTTGGCTTTGCTAGTTTGTTCAGACATGAATTGGCCTGAAATGGCCTGGCTTGCCCTTGCTTGGGCCTGGCTTGCCCTTGCTTGGGCCTGGCTTGCCCTTGCTTGGGCCTGGCGTCACTTGCCTTGGCTTGGATTGGCCATGATTGGCTCGGCTTGACTCTTTTGGGCTTGGCTCGATTGCCCAGGCATGGTTGGCTTAGCTTGGGCTGGAGTAGCTTAACGATAAACGGGCATGGCTTGGATTGGTGTGGCTCGGCTTGACTCTTTTGGGCTTGGCTCGATTGCCCAGGCATGGTTGGCTTAGCTTGGGCTGGAGTAGCTTAACGATAAACGGGCATGGCTTGGATTGGTGTGGCTCGGCTTGACTCTTTTGGGCTTGGCTCGATTGCCCGGACATGGTTAGCTTGGCTTGGGTTGGTCGGGGCTGGCTTGGTTTGGTGTGGCTTGGCTTGGCCTGGTCTTTTCCTTATTGGCTTGGCTTTGTTTGGCAAACCATGGCTCCCTTGATTGGACATGTCGTGGCATTGGATTGATTTTCTTGGCTTCGATTGGCCTGGCTAGGATTAGCTTGGTTTGATCAGGGTATACCTGGCCTTGACTAGGCCATACTTGGCTTGACTAGGCTATACTTGGTTTCACTAGGCTATACTTGGTTTCAATAGGCTATACTTGGTTTCACTAGGCTATGCCTGGTTTGACTAGGCTATGCTTGGTTTGAATAGGCTATGCCTGGCTTGAATAGGCCATTATTGGCTTGGCTTGGCTTGGCTTGGCTTGGCTCAGCTTGGCTTGGATTGGCTTGGATTTTCTTGGTTTGGCTTGCATAAGCCAAGGTTTGGGTAGGCTTGGATTAGATTGGCTTGGCCTGGCATGGCTTGGTTGGCTGTTCTGGCTTGGCTTGGCTTGGCTGTGCTTGTTTAGACATGGTCTGGCCTAGATTTCCCTATCTTGGCTTGATTTGGCTTAGCTGGGCTTGGCTTGGCTTGGCCTGAATAGGCGTGGCTTTGCTTGGTTTGGCTCAGATAGGCTCGGCTCTGCTTGGTTTTGCTTGGTTGGCATTGGCTTGGGTTGACTAGGCTTGGCTACCTTGGCTTGTTTTCGCCTGTCCTGGGCTGGACTGGTCTGGCCTGGCTTTGGCTTGCCCTGGCCTGACATGGCCATGCGGCTTGGCTTGGCTTGATGGCTTGGGATGGCTTACATTGGGCTTAGGTTTAAGAGGGGTGGAATGTTCGCTAGAGAGGCGAGGCAGAGGATTTAAGTCTGAGGGGGTGTTTTCGAGACGTCTCAACAACACCCTCTTCACACGTGGCTGTTCGTCAGAGAGGCGAGGCAGAGGATGACAGTCAGGGAGGTGAAGCGATGAGAGGGTGCAAGTCAGGGAGGTGAAGCGATGAGAGGGTGCAAGTCAGGGAGGTGAAGCGATGAGAGGGTGCAAGTCAGAGAGGTGAAGCGGTGAAAGGGTGTAAACTGGTGGGGCAAAGCAGCGAGAGGGTGGAAGTTTGTAAGCCATTCCGGAGGGCGGTGGGGGTGTGGGGGGGAGGGGAAAGAGAGGATGATATCTGTAGTTCACATGCTCGGTTTACAGATACAAGAAATGAGCAGGGCCAGCAGACAACGCAGAAGACGTGAAATTTGTCCCCTTGATTTGAAACGGCCGTCCTGAGGCTTGTGGTCTACAGTCTTAGATAGCAAGGATAAGTAGAGAGAAAGATGATGCATAAGTAGAGCTGTCGATTCCTATTGCATTGTACATCCGCCATGTGAGCAATGGGAATGGTTTCATTCAAGCGTCTCACAGGCAACTCATCCCTCTACTGGTACTTCCTCTGCGTCACACACATGTTCTTCTGCCAGTCCCAGTTACTCTGAATCAGAAACCTCATGTTCTTCATCCCAACCAGATTGTACTTGTACGTTCCGCCGCGGCTGTCCCTGCCCGTCTTCGTCTGTCCAACCTCCATGTAACACTTGTCCGCATTCTCACCGTTCTCGTCACCCCACCCGGTCTGAACATCCGGGTTCGTTGCTGCTTCTGCGACTTCGTGAGCAATTGTTGAAAGCGTGAAATCGATTGCAGGGTTGCCGTTGGGAGATGGTTTTGGTATCCATTCTTCTTTGCACTGCCCGTGATGCCCCACGAACGCGAATACAACCGGCTTTGACCCGATGTAGAACATGTTGTGCCATCCCATGTAGTTGGTACAGAAACCCGGGACGGTAACATCCTTGCTGGAAAGGACCAGGTAGATGCCACTTGCATCGTACGGCAATGCCTTTCCAGCGCCAATCTTGTTGGAAATAACTGCGACAGAAGCGGGACTTGAATGGTTTAGATATTGACCTGATTTTCTTACAGTAGTGCAGGAATCATGCTTAATGGTAACTCTCATGGAATTCAGGGAGAGCCGAAATGGTTCTGTTGTGCTGCGTACCTTCAAAAACCTTGGTGTCGCCGAAATCTGTTCCATCGTCGAGATCTGTTCCCGCCGAGTACTTGTCATAGACAGTCCTAGCAAGGCGCACCTGGGAATGCAAATGGAATCAAGGGAATTTGCATTGCATCAGCTGAAAGAGAAAAACGAGGCGGCTTTGTTATGATCCAGCCATGCTGAATCCCACTGAGCCACGTGTCGTTTGGAACCTACAGGTTACTTTTGAGTCGACTCAAAAGTCACTTAGAATTTGCATTGCATCAGCTGAAAGAGAAAAAACTAGGCGGCTTTGTTATGATCCAGTCATGCTTAATCCCACTGAGCCACGTGTCGTTTGGAACCTACACGTTCACGGTTTCACCCGCTAGAAATTACATGGACACGGTAAACATCACACTGCATCATGCGACTAACCTTGCTGCTGACATTCTTCTTGGTGCCATCCACCTCCTGCGTGTACGCCGCGCTGATCGCCCACCAGCGCTTCACCTTGGGATCCGCGGGACTCCCCTGCTGCTTCGAGTCGGCGCTCAGCGATCGGATGAAGTTTTCGATTATATTCTGCCCCGAACCTGCTGGCCAACTGCCGTAGTAAATAATGTACACGTTGATGGACGGGTTTCCGGTCATCACGGGCCCGCCTCCGTATGTGATTGGAGCGCTTGAATCCTCAGACGTGTGCACACGCGGGCGCGCGCCACGGCCGACGATGTCGTCCAGCTGGCGCTGACGGCGGTACTCTTCGTGCGCCCGGGGCGTGCGCGCGATGCGCGGCGCACCGGCGGATGCGAGGGGGAGCGGCGAGAGGCAGACAAGGGAGAGAAAAACGAGCAGCATGGAGAATTTTCCCGTGAGTTTTGCCATTGCGCCTGGCTTTTGGAGAGCCTGGGGTTCTCCTAGGCGGAATTGAATACGGGGGAGATGCTAGCGAAGTTGCTCTTGGGATCAACCGAGATAATATATGAATAATGTTAAATGCGAACTCGGAGAGATCAGAAACGGGATTTAAAACAGGTGCGAACAGGATGGGTGACGACCGAGGGAGGAAGGAATGTTGATAAGAAGCGTTGCTAGTAGTCATTTATACCTGGGCACGGCGCTCAAACACTTGCAGTGTTGGGGACGTGTGTTGGTTTGGTTTGATGAATGTCACGACACGATTATCTTTCCTGTCTTTTCTTCCCGGCACACAGAGAGCATTTCCTCCCAATACAGTACAAATGTCCAGAATTTTCGCGGCTCGATTTCGTGGAAGGTGTTGAACTTGCCTGGCGGTGAGGGTGGAAAACACGTTATCCATGGTATGTTTCATCAGACCGCTCTAAATCGTACAAAAACCCTATTTCAGCCGCATTCAGAAGTACCTCGCGACCTCCCTCGAACCCTACAAAACGCGGCTCGATCTCCTCGAGTGGAGTCCGAAAATCATTATGGGTTTATCACCTACACTGCATATCTCCCTAGTCCAAATCGAATACGCTATGCAATAGAACGTGTGCTTTTGATACAAGTAGCAAAACGTTGTTGTATGCTAATCAAGGGTTCCATTGAATAACGGCCAGTGGAGGTAAATCAGTGACTGAAAAATCATTTTCCTAACAATACAGAATTGCAATTTATGCCCTGCGGACAACAATTCTTGCTACTACACCTCAGCACCTCCTTTCTAGGACAAGCCTCTTTGCGTGTAACTTTTGCTAGCTGCCCTCTTTCTGAGGCTTGGCTTTTCTTGGCATTTATTTGCTACACTAAAATTGACTTGCCTTTGGGGACCTACCACTCCCATGGGTCTGACTTGTTCACAAAAAAACATTTGCAACCAAATACATATCTACAAGTTAAAGCCAGCAGCTAAAATAGTGACCCCCCCCCTTCTAGTTGGGTCCACTTGAAAACACAAGTTTGTTACTAACGTTTGAAAAGTTGACGTGCTGTGCGTTTTTATTTTTTTACATCCCAGTTTTTTTTTTTTTTTTTTTTTTTTTTTTTGTGAACGGGAAAAGTGTGGAGCTTGTTTACAAATCTGATTGGTGGCGACTTTCACCCACGTTCGCGTGCGAATTTGGCGCAAGGCTGCAATCCCATCCCACATGCACCAAAGCAGCCAGCGTAACTTGAATAGAATTTCCATGTGCAAAAACCAGCGCACACACATCAAAATCCAGCGCGCACACAGGCAAAAACATGCAAAATCCTGCGCGAACACAGGCATGATCAAGCAAAATCCATGGCACACACAGGTGAAATCGGGCGCAGCAGCTAAAATAAAGAAAGGAATGATGTACGAAAAGAGGAAGGGCGTCGGGACGGTTGATTGGCAGCGAAGGCGAAGAGAAGGGACTGGTGACCTGGGGGGCGACGGGAGAGGAGGGGAGAGAGGGGGAACGACGGGATGGGAAGGGAGAGAGGAAGAGTGCGGGATGGAAGGGAAGATAGGAGGAACGACGTGATGGGAGGGGAGAGAGGAAGAACGCGGGATGGAAGGGAAGATAGGAGGAACGACGTGATGGGAGGGGAGAGAGGAAGAACGCTGTGATGCGGGGAGGGAAGACAAATTGTGAAGGGAGGGAAGGAGGGTGCGGAGAGGGCATTACAGAGCAAGAGCGAGGGCGACGAGATCGGTGATGAACCGGGTGGAAACGACGGGCGACTGGAGAGCGCGCGACGGGAAGGGAGTGGCGAAAGAGAGAGAGCGACGGGAAGGGAGGGGAGAGAGGGAGAGCGACGGGATGGGAGGGGAGAGAGGGAGAGCGACGGGATGGGATGGGAGAGACCGAGAGGGACTGGAAGGGAGCGGCGAGAGATAGAGCGACGGGAAGGGAGGGGAGAGAGCAAGAGCGACGGGAAGGGACTGGGGAGAGCGAGAGCGACGGGAAGGGATGGGAGAGCCCGAGAGCGACTGGAAGGGAGAGAGAGAGAGAGAGAGAGAGCGACGAGAAGGGAGAGGAGAAGTTGATTGGTTCAGGAAAGGTAGCGGCGAGAGAGAGAGAGCGACGGGAAAAACTCGAGGGCGTTTGGAGGAGAGGGTTAATGGAGATGACGACAGGAGGGCACTCGAAACTGCACAATGTACTATACAACCGTGCCAGCTTCACTACGCGTCTAAACCTAAACAACCATGGCCTAATTTGACGATTCTATGGCTAGGCATGCTACAAATAACTAAGAAGCAGAGATGTATGATCGAAAGAACTAGTAGTTGTTCACCCAGGCCCAACTTGAACCCCAAGCTGGGACCAAATCGCAAGGACGTTCATAAGCGATCGATGTGCTAACGTTGTGCGGCTTCCCAAACTGATATGCGACGCCTGACGTGCAGTGTTCCTTCTTTCGGTTTTGGCGGGAACCAATCAGATGTGTTCGATCTGCTAAAAACGCTGTCAATGAAACACTCGAAACTTGTCGGTTTGGTTCGAAAATTGTTTCGCATGGCAAGGCCTCTTTCAAGCTGGCCCCGGGTTCACTATTTTGCATTTCGGTTTTAAATCTCCACTAGTTGCAACTACCCCCAAAAAACAAAATCATGCCGGCAAATAACTCCAACAACCCTACCACCACTAACTTCCACCCTCCAACATTCCACACATTGGCACCGCCTTAGATCAGCTAAATTAATTTGTCGATATGCAATCACTAGGTAAAATATACACGCTACACTGAGACAATGAGCCACCAGTCTCACCCAAGAGCTTCTTGCTCTCGAGTCTTCAAATCTTCACATCCATCCACCCCTGTGCTTCCTGTACATACTCACAAACTATACAAAACGTTACGTACCTTAACCTCTCCCATGCTGTTTACCACCATCACCCACCGCCTCATACTCCAACCCTCTGACAACCACCCTCGCCTGCCGTCCATCCTCCCTGCCGCCCGTCCTCCCTGCCGCCCATCCTCGCCTGCCGCCCGTCCTCCCTGCCGCCCGTCCTCCCTGCCGCCCATCTCCTATGCTGCTCAGCTTCCTTTGCCACCCCACCTTCCCTACCGCCCCACACCATCTCTTCACGGAGGCTCTGCCCCAGTGCCTGTGTCCCTAAGCTTACAGAACTTTCCCCTGCAATTCTCAATGCTGGTCAATGCCGGTCAACGCAGGTCAACGCCACTCATCCAGCACAAGTCACTCACAGAAGCAGCCCCTTCACGAACTGGGGGAAAGAGGTATCCCCTGCGGCAGGGGGCGCCCCCAACTGCCCTTTGCTCCCTCCCCCACATGCCAGCACCCTGCCATCACTGGTCAATGCCAGCATGTGAGCGTCGAAATGGCCGGCATTCGACGTACTTATCTGCACCACCGTACCCCTCCTGCTGCTGTAGATGCTGCCTGTAGCGTTGCTGGTGCTCCCTTTGCCGTTTCCGTTGCTGTTGCTGTTGTTGGTGTTTCCGTTGCTGCTGCTGTTGCCATTGGGGCTATCCACACCGGGGCTGCTGCTGCTGATGCCACCAGAATCGCTGCTGACAATGCTGTTCATCCACCCACTCAAGCTCACAGCCACGGCATCACCGCTGCCACTGTCACAGCCACTGCCATGGCCGCTGCTGCTGCTAGTGCTGTCACTTCCAGCACCACTTGTAGCCACAGGCAACAGCGGGATTACAGGAGTGGCATCATCAGCAGGACCACCAGCAGCAGCAGCAGCAGTTTCAGCAGGACCACCAGCAGCAGCGACAGCTTCAGCAGCACCAGTAGCAGCAGCGGCGGCAGCGGCGGCTGCAGTAGCAGGAATCGTTTCAGTAACGCTCACTCGTCCCCCAGTGGCAGCAGCAGGCAGGCTCCCCCACGTGAGCAGCCCTCTCACGCCGCCGCCCCATGCACCGGCTGTCCCCCGGTCTAGCAGTGTGGTGGCAGAACCAGCGGCGGCAGCACGACTTGCAGCATCAGGAGAGGTGGCAGCAGCAGGAGGAGCAAGTGGGTTGGCAGTAGGCAGGAGTGGCAGCAGCAGCAGCAGCAGCAGTGGTATCAACAGACTCCGAAGCAGTGGGAGTGGCAGGAGCAGCAGGAGCGGCAGCAGCAGCGGTATCCACAGCATCCGGAGCAGCAGGAGCGGCAGCAGGAGCAAGAGGCAGAGGAGCAGGGGATTGAGCAGCGCGCTCCTCCAGTAGAGACACCCGTCGGGGCTGCATCACATCCCGATTGCGCCGCCGGTGCTGCCGCAGCTGGTGGGGGGTGTGAGGGGAGAGAGAGGGATGTGTGGGGTGTGAGGGGAGAGAGAGGGATGTGTGGGGTGTGAGGGGAGAGAGAGGGATGTGTGGGGAGTGAGGGGGGGATGGTTGAAGCGAAGGGGGGAGGCGGTGCATAACACCCTCCTGAGCTGCATCACATCCCGATTGCGCCTCTGGTACTTTTGAGGCGCCTCAAAAGCCAATTGCGCCTCTGGTACTGCCGCATCTGATGGGGGTTGGGGGGGGAGATGGGGGGATCAGAGAGAAGTGGCCGTTGTGTGTGACAATCAGCAAAAACAGCCACTTCAGAGAGAATATCAAACGTGTACATGAAAAACAGGATGGATCACTATTCCCTTAGAAAATAACACTCTCTGGCAAACGTGTTCGCTCCTTATATCCTGCAGATCAGCATCACCGATCGTTGAGACGTCTCAAACGTAGACGACTTTTGAGACGTCTCAAATGTAGACGAATTTTGAGACGTCTCAAACGTAGACGACTTTTGAGACGTCTCAAAAGTAGACGACTTTTGAGACGTCTCAAAAGTGTTCACTCATATCCTGCAGATCTTCACTCATAGCGGAAGAGCTGCAATTCTGAAGATTGGAAAACGCTTATAGCAACAAACGTATTCACTCCTTATATCCTGCACATCAGCATCACCGATCTCTTCCCCTTCCTCTTCCTCCTCCTCCTTCCTCTCCCACCTGCCCCCATGCCCCAAGCTTGCATTCTAGCGCTACCACATCGCAACACCTATCTAACTCTACATCGTTCACAACACCTATCTAACTCTACAAATTCAATTTTAAAAAGACCCATGAACTTGCAGCAATCACTCACCATAATGTCATGCAGATCAGCATCATCGATATCCTCGCTTTCCTCCTCCTCCACCTCTCTGTCCCACCCCCTCCCCATGCCCGAGGCTTGCCTTCCTCCTCCTCCTCCCTCTCCCACCCCCCCCATGCCCCAGACACGCGCTCTCTGCACTCCCAAACGACCACACCTCACAACCATATTTAAACCAACAACACTCTACACTCTGACCCATGACCCTACACCCACCACGGCACTCACCACGATGTCGTGCAGATCAGCATCGTCCATCTCCTCGCCTTCCTCCTCCTCCTCCCTCTCCCACCCACCCCCATGCCCCAAGCCACACACGACACGACACGACCCTGAAGCAACAACCACTCACCACGATGTCATGTAGATCAGCATCGTCTATCTCCTCGCCTTCCTCCTCATCCTCCCTCTCCCACCCACCCCCATGCCCCAGACACGCGCTCTCTGCACTCCCAAACGACCACACCTCGCCGCCCTCCCCCACCACAAACGTCGTGTAATCCCCTGCTGCCACGTGGCATGCTTTCACAACTGGACGGAGCTTGCCACATGAACCGTGCGATTCATCCCTGTTGGCAGCTGCCTCTGATCTAGATGGAGAAACAGCTGCAGCAGCAGAGGGAGGAGCAGCAGAAGCAGAAGCAGCAGAAGCAGCACCACGAGCACCAGCACCCGCACCAGCGCCAACACCAGCCCCAGTACCCCCGTCCACCGCACCACTCCTCCCCTCCTCCTCACTCCGACACAAGCTTTCAATAACCTTGGGCAGCGTTTCACACTGGTCCTTGCCATGCCCTAGACACCCATGCCTGCCCCACCCCCACGTGGCGACTCTACCGTCAGCAGCAACAGCAGCAGCATGCCACGCGCCCGCAGCAACGGCTGTAGGGGCGAACTCTAGGGTTTTGAAGTGCGCGATTTCTTTCGGGCGGCGTTCGTCGTACTTCGTGCCGTGGCCTAGCTTGCCGCCCAGGCCACAGCCAATGGACCAGACAGACCTGGTAAAGCAAGGAGTCAGGGGGGAGGGGGGAGGGGGGGGGGGGGGGGTCCACAGGGGAACCAGAGAGGAATCCGAGATAGGGAAGGAAGTAGAGGGTGTCTCAGAGTAAGCACAATAGTGTGCTGTATGAAAATCACTTTTGAGAATTCTCAGAAGAATAAGGACACTAGTGTGCTGTGGCCTAGCTTGCCGCCCAGACCACAGCCTCTGGACCAGACAGGCTTGAGGACAGGAGGGGGATGGAGGGGGAAGTGTGGGGTGGGTGGGGAAGGGCGAATGGACAAGGACTATAGTAAGCCATGGCTCACTGCTATATGCACCACTGATCTGACCACACCACGCCACACCACGCCACACCACACCACACCACACCACACCACGCCACACCACACCACTGGGCATATCAATAGCCTCACTCACCTGCCGTGGGGCTCCTTGGCAAATGTCAGCCCCAGCAGGTAGCAGTGCCCCCCTGCCATCTGCACCACTGGAAGAGACACTATCCCGCCACTGGGCTGATCACCCACATTACTACTGTGCGCACTCACCTGCCGTGAGGCTCCTTGGCGCAAGTCAATCCCAGCAGGTAGCAGTGCCCTCCTGCTATCTGCACCACTGGCAGAGACACTATCCCGCCACTGGGGGCTGATCACCCACATTACTATGTGTAGTGAAATGACTTTTGAGGCGCCTGAAAATGAGGTGACTTTTGAGGCGCCTGAAAATGAGGTGACTTTTGAGGCGCCTGAAAATGAGGTGACTTTTGAGGCGCCTCATAATGAGGTGACTTTTGAGGCGCCTGAAAATGAGGTGACTTTTGAGGCGCCTCATAATGAGGTGACTTTTGAGGCGCCTCATAATGAGGTGACTTTTGAGGCGCCTCATAATGAGGTGACTTTTGAGGCGCCTGAAAATGAGGTGACTTTTGAGGCGCCTGAAAATGAGGTGACTTTTGAGGCGCCTCATAATGAGGTGACTTTTGAGGCGCCTGAAAATGAGGTGACTTTTGAGGCGCCTCATAATGAGGTGACTTTTGAGGCGCCTCAAAAATCACCCCACTGGGCTGATCACTCACATTAATACTGTGTGCGCTCACCTGCCATGAGGCTCCTTGGCACATGTCAGTCCCAGCAGGTAGCAGTGCCCTCCTGCTATCTGCACCACTGGAAGAGACACTATCCCACCCTCCTCCTCCTCCTCTTCCACTTCTCCTTCCTCCTGTTCCCCTTCATCCCGCAAATTATCCATCTCCCTATGCGTTTCACCGCAGTTGCAGCCGCCACAGCCAGCACTACCAGCACCACCAGCAGCACCACCACTAGCTGCAACATCTATTCCCACACCACTGCACCCCGTGACTCCACAACCACCCGCCAATCCCTTTCCCTTCATTCCCTCGCCTTTTCTCGCCTTTCCCCCCAATCTCCCCTTCCTCCCCGCACAACCCCCTCCCCTTCCCCCTCCCCCCAGCCCAAGCACGGCACTCATCCCAGGTCCGGCGAGCTGCCGAGGCACGGTGTCCACAGGATCGGTGGCGTGCCCGAGCCTCTCGCCTCGGATCTCACTGCCTGCTTCAGTGGCAGTAAGGAGCGTATGCCTAGCAGTAGCACCACCATCTGCATCAGAATCAGTGGAGGCAGCACCGCCAGCGGCAGGGGGAGCGGCAGGGGGAGGAGCAGCGGCCGCAGCAGCTACAGCGGCAGCAGCAGCGGCAGCGAGGGGGGTGCGTCTGCCATCCCCCCGGCCGCCCCAAGAGAGAGTGAAGACGCGGCCTTCAGCTGAGAGCACTGCGGTGAAGAAATTCCCGAGGGCGACCTGCACAGGGGAAGGGGAGGACGCAGAGACTAGCGTCAGGAGGTGCGTGAGTAGGAGCAGGAGCAGCAGCAGCAGCGAGGGGGGTGCGTGTGCCATCCCCCTGTCTGCCCCAAGAGAGAGTGAAGACGCGGCCTTCAGCTGAGAGCACTGCTGTAAAGAAATTCCCGAGGGCGACCTGCAGGGGGCAGGGGGTGGGAAGCAGAGAGAGGGGCATCGAACGAGGGCAGAGAGCACAGCTGACTTTTGAGTCGACTCAGAAGTCCCCCCGTCTGCCCCAAGAGAGAGTGAAGACACGGCCTTTTGCTAAGAGCACTGCTGTGAAGAAATTCCCAGCGCGACCTGCAGAGACAAGGGGTGGGTGCAAATAGAGGGCTGCGAATGAGGGAGGTACAGATGCAAAAAAATGTGAAGGGGTGTGAAGGGGTGCGAAGGGGTGCGAAGGGATGTGGAAGAGATGCAAAGCGGTGTGAATGAGTTGTACGGCACAATCAAGCTTGAAGCTTTGAGAAGTCTCAGGATCAGAGCGTGGCAAAGTGTGTAGAGAGTGGGTCATAATAATGAAGGCAATTTTTTTTAGGCGCCTCACTTGAACAACTTGAATGTGCCGAAGCGATTCCACGAGCCGAGGCTCGGTGACAGGCTCGGGGGAGGTGAGCGAGTATTCCTGGTCGCCGAAGCAGTCCCGGCCGAAGTGATACACCGAGCCTGTGTCTGAGACTAGCATTGTCCGCGCCCTGCCTGCTGCTGCCTGCACCACGCGCACGCCCAGCAATGATCTGCGTGTGGTGGATGGACAGAGGCAGCCGGGAAAAGGGCGGGGGCAAGAAAGAGTAATGAGACTTTGATACACCGAGCCTGTGTCTGAGACTAGCATGGTCCTCGCCGTACCTGCTGCTGCCTGCACCACCCGCACTCCCAGGAGAGACTTGAGAATGAGAGGATGAGAAGTAAAGAGCATGGGGGAGGAAAGGAAGGAGGGAATAGAGAGCATGGGGACGTGATACACTGAGACTGTGTGTGAGACCAGCATTGTCGTCGCCCTGCCTGCTGCTGCCTGCACCACCCGGACACTGAGCAATGGCCTGCATATGAGGGGAAAGGAAAGTAAGAAGAGATGAAGACCGACTAATCATGTGTCCCATACTATACTTAACACGGAGGGAGAATAGAGTGTAGAGTCTCGACACACTGCTCATGTGTGTGTGACCAGCATGGTCCGCACACAAGTATACGACTTTTGAGACGTCTCAAAAATGGTCCTCACCCTGCATGCTGCTGCCTGCACGACCCGCATTGCTAGCAGCGACCTGCGTGTGGTACTAGCCAGAGTAAGTCGGTGTATAGTCGGCAACAGAGTGTGTACCGCTCTGCGTGTGTACAGTCGGTGTATAATTGGCAACAGAGTGTGTAGTGTACCTCTCTCTCACATGTATGACAAATACAAACAAACAAATACAAATACAAATACAAATTGTCACCCTTGGACTTACAGTAATGTCATTTTGCGCTGCGTCACAGTTGATCCGTTATGTTTTACTTATTACATGCGTCCATATCGTGTCACACACTACACTCCATGTTATATCGGTTATCGTTGATTGTCATATATCGCAACCTACCTCAGTACCTCGCACTCAACCTGCACGCACCGCATAGAACCATGTGCCCATGTGACAGCACTCACCTCACAATCTGAGGCTTCCAGGAAGGTTCCGCGGACGATGCATCACCGCTCCCCACCGCTCCCGTTTCAATCCCACTCCTTAAAGTCACAGTCACAGCCCCCGTTGCAGTGGTGGCTAGAGTGGTTGTCACATCGTTTGCAAGCCCAGCAAAACCACCAACGGCAGCAGCAGCAGCGGCGGCGAAACCAGCATAACCACCAGCAGCAGCAGCAGCACCAGCAGCACCAGCACCAGCACCAGCACCAGCAGTGCTGCTAGCAGAAGCCAGGGGTCGCCCCAGCTGCCCTGCTGACCCATGCCCGAACGTCCACACCTCTCCACCGCGCCCCACCGCAACGCTGTGCGCACACCCCGCTGCCACCTGCGGCTGCCCGTGCCTGGCAGTCAAAATTTCCAAGCCAGAGGGAAGATATATTTGACAGTTAGCCGGTGGGAGGCAAAAGGGGCAGGTACAGCAGGGAAACAACGTGCAAAAGCACAATCGAGCAACAGCAAAGAGAGAGCGGTTATGCGACAACGTTACCTAACGTTACCACTTGTTACCAGATTTTACCAGATCTTACCTGATCTTACCAAGAGTTACCCTGACGTCACCTGATGTTACAAGAAACTACCTGAGTTACCCTGTTACCTCATGCTACCAGATGTTACCGGATCTCCCAGATTGCTACCGGAGTAACCCTGTTACCTGATGCAGCTGTCGCTGGTGATGAGGAAGCGCAGCAGAAGCTTCCACGAACGACCGCAGCGCGCCCACAGCAGGCGCTGCTGCGCGGGCGGCAGCATGCGGAAGCGCAGGGAGTGCTGCTGGCAGCGGTCGTGCGCCGCCACTTCCACCAGCGAGAGACGCGGATGCGGGGTCAGATGCGCGGGCCGGCGGAAGAACCCGCAGACAAGCTGTTGGGGCGCGCGGCGGGGCGTGATGAGGGGCACGGGACGAAAAGGCATCATGGGAAAAACGGAAGAGGGAAAGGTTCAGGAGGGAGAGACGGTGCGGATGGCACATGCGAGAGACGGCACGGGAAGAGCCGCAGCAGGCGCGTTTGTGCGAGTGATATCGCGTCCAGACCACAGTTTCAGCACCACCCAGTGCGGCTGTGGCCGGCTGCCGCCGCGGCTGCGGGGTTTGGGGCCACGCTGGGGTAACGCAGGAAGCTCAGACACGCAGGAAGCGCAGAAGCGCAGACTCCTTCCTTGCGCCGCTATTTCCGGAAACAGACGCACGCGCTGATTATTTTTTGGTGTGCGCGTTGAGCCGCCGCGCGCGTAAAATTCGTCCGATACTTCCGAAGATGTTGAAGGTAGCGTCACGAAGATACGCGAGGTGGCACGGCGCCTCCTCCAACAAGGGGGCGCCGCGCTTCGAAATCACTGTCCATTCAGTTGAACCAAGATGCTTTACTCGCACGCGCTTTGCTTGTTACCTCGAGGCGCGCAAGGTCCTCCGCAGAAAGGCTGACGTCAGACAGAATCCGAAGCAGCACGCTCGAGTTAACCGCTAACAACAGCTCCTCCGTCTCCCTCCGCTGACGCGAGACCGGCGGTTCCTCGAACGCGGGTGCCGGTTCAACGGCACCACTGACGGCGGTTGTGCCGGCGGCTGTAGCATGATTAGTTGTGAGGTAACCGTCCGCTGTAGCATCGCCGCTGGCAGTGGCATCAGTGATGAGAGACGTCGAGGGGACTGTCACGAGCGTCATCAGCTCCTTTGAAGCGCCGCTCGAGCCGCCTGAAAGGCTCGTGACGGCGAGCGAGGGATTGTCAGATATCATCGCGTCGCTGCTGCACGTGGCGCCAATCATGGCTGCTGGCTGCCTGGATTGAAATGCTAGAGTTCTGGTGCGAAAGGCGTGAAACGCTCCGTTCCCTGATACTAACGCTGTGCGAAACGAGCTCAGAGGTCGCAGCGGTGCCTTTTGTGCCGCATGCAAGTCCGCAGGGTGAAATAAAAGTGAGCTAGAGTCCTTCCGATGGCACTTGTAGTCCTGAGAATGGAGAATGGCATACTAGGATAATCAAAATACGGGAAACGACGGCCGTCGTCCTGAGAACATAAAATGCCCGACTGCTAGCTACTGCTGGTTTGAAACGAATTTTGTATGAATTCGAGAAAGTCAAGGATTTTCTTTTTTAAGGAACAGCAAAAGCACGAGCCTCGTCAAGAGTACCGCGCTTTCGCTGCCCCTTGAGACGACGACTTTTTGTACTACGAAAGCTTGAAGCCTGAGTTCCTGCGAGCTAGAGCGTGCTGAAGAGTTTTCCGTAACTGTGGGAGAGGATTCAGAATACAGAGCAGGAGAACATCCTGAAATACAGCTGTGAACACCGTCTTAGGCTGATAGAAGCAAGGGTTTCAAAGCAAGCACTGGTAAAAGGGACAGGCAGCAAGCTAAATGCGTCATGAGCGCAGAAAGTCGGAAAACGGGTGCTCGGTGAGAGTGAGGAAGCTGAGAAATCTTAGTGCAATGGTGAGGAGAAGGGCAATGAGGCGAGAGGATGCGAATGGCGAATGACATCCCCAAGGGCGAATTTCTCCGAGGCCTTGAACGAACGAATGGATTTGGTTTGGTGTTGTGAGCTCATTTGTCATCCCAGTTGTGTGTGCGGCTCGGGAGGAAGCAAATGCGATGTGGGCATGGTATGTCAGCGTGCGACTTGGCTTGGAAGAATTGTTCGGGGAGGTTTGAGACTGCCGTACCTATGTATGATGTTGATGCTAAGCTTCCTGTGATTGGCTGAAAATTTATAAAAATCTCTGATTGGTTAGTTTTATGCCTTCACGACATTTTTTGGGCTGACCGAGCTTCACATGCTAGTTGCACAGCTGCTACACGAGACGTAGCAAAACATTTGATGAGTTTTTCATGTCACACAAACAGAAATTGATGGCACATTGAGGACAGCCAGACCGTACCTAGTAGCGACTGGAATAGATACGAACCACCGCATAACCAGGCCTGGAAACCTACATCGAAATCGAGGCTTGGTCATGTACGTAATGAACATGATTGGTTGAACATCTCATCTCATGCCATGGATGGTTTCGATGCTGGGTAAGGGTGTGGTGTGGTGTGATGGGCTTCACACCTTTTGGCTGTCACGGGACAAACCCAAAGCAAGTCAAGGTTCGTGCTGGTGGCTCGATCGAGAGGCTCTGTTTTCTATTGGACATCATACCTACCATATCGACGGCGCAGATAATTTCACTAACAACGATCGACGGCTCTCTACGGGCATCTAGGTGGAAGGGCGGGCATTTTTCAGCCCTGATATCGTCAACTCCCCTACAATCCAGCTCAGCTTCCATTTGTGAATGAGTGGTGGAGTGGTGGTTGTACCTCAGGCGAATTTCCATCCACATTTCGTTAGCGGTAGTTTGAGCTTTGTCGCGCTTTTACCGAGTATGATCTGCTCGATGCCTTCAGAGGTCCTAGACATAAGGATGCGGCACTTGCTCTCAATTTTCCAGGATCGATCGTGAGAGGGTTCGATATGCCGATTGTACAGTGTACTGGCGACATCGCCAATTCCTGGTGTCCGTTTCTCGCATGAAGTCGAAAATGTACAGTAAACGGTTACCCAAAATGGTGGCACCTGCAGCTCGCACAATCGATGTACCGTGGTGCACACATCGATCGTACGTTTGGTTTGGCGGGAGAGCACATCGCGCCACAGGTGACAGCCGCGATCGATCGGCGTCGCCCACAGTCGCAGGCCAAAAATTATTGAGTCGCTGCGAATGAAATTGCTGGGCGACCAGCCACGCTCTGTCCTGATTGGCTGCGCTTGAAATGTGTTAGTGTATTCCGAACCAGCTCCAACCTGCCCGATCCTGCAATTTCGATCCTGGCACCTATAGCTCGATGTGTCTAACCCACTGCAAGTTTGCAGTGTGGGCACATCAGTGCACCGATCGATGTGCCAGGATCGATGTGAGGCCCCGAACCTCCCCGAACCTGGAAAAATGAAAACAGGTGCCGCGTCCTTAGTGTTCTAGACCATTTCACTCATTATGCTCTAGTTATGTGAAGTCTTGAAGGTAATGAGGCACAGGTTCGAGGCTTGTCGAAGAGCGCCGATAGGGAGGGACGAAGGCAGGATACGGAGGAGGGAACAAAATCGTCAACATAGCTTACACGATCCTGCCGCGTTTCCCTGCTCCTCTCGGTACCATCATCTCTATAGCTCTCCACTACAGATTTTCTGTAGAATTTTGCCAATTATACCTCGCGGTAACATAAGATCACCTTCGCAATATTTTCCGGTTCGGCACTTCCGTATTTCTCACCCGTAGACTTCACGGTGAAGCTTCGTAACGAATCTTTTCCAATGAATTCGCTCGTCGGATTCGTCAGGCGAGCCGCGAAAACGCGATATCATCCCACGTGGCACCGAGTCCTTCCAATTTTCGAATTACTGGAACAGAAATTTCCTTTTCCAGCAACAGCAGGAGGATCCAGCCGTTCATTTGGGTTGGCAATCGCAAGCCAAGCTACCACCCAGGCAGGCTTCCCGGCATCTGACTCTTCCCGAACCATCCTCGCTTACGAAGAACTCGTTATACGCCCTAGCGGTTCGTCCGATGATGCCAAGAGCGCGAGCTCCAATAGGACCGCGACAGCTGTCATCGTTCACGGCCTACTGGGATCCGGTCGCAATTGGCGTAGCCCCGCGAAGCTTCTGGGAAACCGGCTAGTCAATGGCAGCAATTCCTTTGTAGCTGACAATTCAGCAAGTGGGCTTTCTTGGCGTTTTCTGCTGGTGGATCTTCGGCACCATGCGCAATCCGCCGCCCGGCAGTTCCTTCAGCCGGATGACATGAGCAACGCGGCGGCTGACCTGGCGCGCCTCGTCGCTGACGTGGCGGGAGGGAGAGCTGACGTGGTGATTGGTCATTCCATGGGCGGGAAGATCGCTCTGGAGTATGTGAGGAGGGCTCGCGCGGGGGAATTGCCTGTGATCCTGCCGCAGCAGGTGGGATGGAATGAGGGAAATGAGGGAGTGTGAGGGAGATGAGGGAAATGAGGGAGTGTGAGGGAGATGAGGGAAATGAGGGAGTGTGAGGGAGATGAGGGAAATGAGGGAGTGTGAGGGAGATGAGGGAAATGAGGGAGTGTGAGGGAGATGAGGGAAATGAGGGAGTGTGAGGGAGATGAGGGAAATGAGGGCGGGTAGCTAGTGGGGGTGGTGCTGCTGAAGCAGGTCGGATGCAAAAGGAGGAGCGATAAGAAAAGACGTGGCAGAATCGGTATCTGATCTCCATCCTCCCGTGATTCTCCTTTCCCTCCCCAGCTGTGGGTGCTTGGCTCGGTGCAGGGCCGGGTCGCATATGGAAGCATGCGTGGGGAGGACATGTCGTGGTTCATCACGCTCTCTCATACCATTCATCACGCATGTTGTCTCTTCCGTCTCCCCGACTGTGGGTGCTAGGCTCGGTGCCAGGCTGCATATCAGAGCATGCATGGGGGCGTGCATGGGGGCGTGCATGGGGGCGTGCATGGGGGGGATGGGGCTGCACCATGTGGGAGGATTAGATGGCATGGAATCATCATGTTCTCACATGCCGTTCTCCCCTTCCTCCCTTCACCACTCCCCCCTTTCCAGCTGTGGGTGCTAGACTCAGTGCCGGGCCGCATATCTGACTGCACGTTGGGGGAGGATGCGGAGAGGAGGGACGTGGAGCGAGTGATTGCTACGCTGCAAGAGCTGCCCCGCCCCATCCCCTCCAAACGGTACTATCCAACCCATCCCACCACTTTACCAGCCAATTCCATCATTGCAACGGGTGTTTGTGTCAACTCGAAACACACGCTGGGGGAGGATGCGGAGAGAAGGGACGTGGAGCGAGTGATTGCCACTCTGCAGGAGCTGCCCCGCCCCATCCTTTCCGAATGGTATCAACTCAAAAAGTTTCTGAAAGGGGTTTGTGTCAGTCAATTGCTTCACCAATGCGTCTGTTGAGTCATCTCAAAAGTCTGTCCCTCCGTATCCCCTCCAATCCAAACATGGTTCTTGTAGGGATTAATACGATCAATCCGGCCCATCACATCTCAAAACACACTTCCTCTCTGGTTTTCCCCTTCCATGCATTATGTTCCTTAGTCTGATCATAGAAGCACCATATTTCATGTGCTTTCACTTTGCATCTATCCTCATGAATCATGCACACGCACATGCAAGCATGCATCACGCCTAGATGTTTAGTTCCTTGGATGCACCATGTGCGTGTGTGCTTCATGCATTCATGTACCATGCTCACATACTTCATGCGTACCCATGCATGCATGCAAACATCACCTGCCACATTTCAAAGCACCATGCATCATGCCAAATGCACCATGCCTACATGCTCCTCCCGAACCGCAGGTGGCTCCTCCAGGAACTGACTCAGCGCCGAGGCTTCTCCTCAGGCTTGGCAGAGTGGCTTGCCACGAGCCTCAGACCCGTAGCTGGTTCAAGTGGTTCCGCTGGCTCGGGTGGTTCTGCTGCCGGGGCTAGTATGAACGGGGAGATGGAATGGGTGTTCAACCTGGATGGAGCTGTTTCTCTCTACAACAGCTACAGGTGACTGTGAGAGGGTGTGCAAAGGAGTATGTGTGGGAGGGTGTGTGGGTGAAGCGTGTTGGGGTGAAGAGATGTGGAGGGAAGGGGGGAGGTAGAGGTGGTGCTGCCGGGGCTGGCGTGAACGGGGAGATGGAATGGGTGTTCGATTTGGATGGCGTTGTTTCTCTCTACAACAGCTACAGGTGACTGTGAGAGGGTGGGAAGAGGAATTTGTTTGTGAGAGTGCATGTAGTTTGGAGTGTGTAAGGGTGGGAGATAGGAATGGTGCTTCAGGACCTAATGGGAAAAAAGAAGATGGATTGGGTGTTCAACCTGGATGGCGCTGTTTCTCTCTACAACAGCTACAGGTGAGTATGAGGCGGAGTGTGTGTTGGGGAGTGTGTGTGGGGAGTGTGTGCCAGGGGGTGGAGGGAGGGTGGGAGCTAGCCATGATGCTTCAGGCGCTACTGGGAACGGGGAGATGGATTGGGTGTTCAACTTGGATGGCGCTGCTTCTCTCTACAACAGGTGACTGAGAGAGGGAGTGTGTGGGGGTGTGGGAGTGCGAGAGAGTGCGGGAGCGAGGGAGGGAGGGACGGGGGAGGAGCATGTGTATGAAGGGGGGGGCGGGAGGAGGAGAAATGTTTGTTTTTGTGTGGATGTGTGTGTGTGTGAGGGAGCCATGTGTGTGTTTGTTTCTGTGTGTCTGCCTATACTTTCTCTTGTGTGTGCATGCTTGACAGAGCAAAGGGGAGGGGGGGTGGGTGGAAGAAGCGGTTAAGGAGGTTGGAAGAAAGGGAGGGAGGAAAGAGCACCGAGAAAATTGCATGAAACCCTTACTGCAAGCAGGTATTTTAGTTTTAACCTTCTTGTGTGGCATGGCATGGCGTGGCATGACGTGGTATACTGTTGTATGACGTGGCATGGCGTGACATGATGTGGCATGATGTTGCATGGCATGGCATGGTGTGACAGGCAAACGGATCTGCTACCTTTTGTGAAGAACCTGTGCAATCGACCACATGAGGAGCAGCAACTTTCTCTACAAGCACCTCTGCTGCAGTCACATCCTCTACAATCACAGGAGCTGGAGCAGCAAGGGAAGTTGGGAGTGGAGAGGGATTCAAGACCCAAGTTTGTGAAGGCAGGAGCAAGTGAGGGTGTTAAGTGGGGAGTGGTGCAGCAGCCTTGGCACCAGTCCATGCAGATCCAGAAGATTCTAATTCAGCAGCAGCTACAGCAGCAACAGCAGCATCAGCAAGAGCAGGAGGAGGGAGGGGTGCTTATGGAGAAGCAGGCAGGACATTGTTGCACACAGGTGCATTTCGTGAAAGGGGAGAGGAGTGGCGTGTGGAAAGCAAAGTGCCTTGCTGACTTGGAGGCTGCTGTTGCTGAGTCAGCAAAGTGCGAAGAGGAGAGCTTGGATTCTCTGAGGAATGAGGGTGAAGAGGGTGGGAAAAAGGGATGTAGAGCACATTTGCATGTTTTGAAAGGAGCAGGGCATTGGGTTCATGTGGACAATCCAACAGGACTTGTGCAGCTGATGGAAAAACACTTGAGAGAGGTTTCTGTTTAGGAATTTATCGTTTTTTTGCAAAGTAATTGAAATAGAAATAGGACAGTACATATTTTTTCATTTGTACTTGCAGTGTATCTGAATTAATTTATTGAAGCCACTTCAACTGCAAAAAAAGTACTCGCTATTATCTCCCCGCACGCCCTCCCCCTTCGCCTCCCCCTCCTCCCTCCATCTCTCACAACCCCTTTTCCCCCGTTTCCCCTCCCACCCAGCACTCCCCCGACGCACCCCCACACCGGGGCTGTCGCAGCATTCGCGCAGTAACACTTTATGGGTTTTGAGTTGAGAGCGCATTGTTACTGTAACTTTTTGACCGGAACGCAGATCTATCGCCTCTGGCGCAGTGTTTTGGGCTGTTTGTCGATTCTGACGCAGAGTTAGCAAGATTTCTACGCAGTCCGCTGCTCATTGGTGCACATGGCAAAAAACCATTCGCTGAACACTGTTTTAACCTGTCGAGGTAAACAGTCACCTCGATGTGGCTGGCTCGGCATGTCACTGTTACCGAATCTAGAATTCCAGATTCTCGCGCCCAAAACATGGCATCACGTCCGTTACGAGCCTGGAAACTGAGACGACTTCCGTCAGGATAGACGTTCTCGCTACTAGGTGTTGCCAAGTGCTGCTACGACCCATAAATAGAAATACGCTACTAGGGGATCTTCAATAAAGAAAAAAAAAAAACTAAAATAACAAATTTGATGCACATGTATGGGATTCACAATGAATGTTATCCTCAAGCATACTGTTTAGGGTTTCACTGTTTCCAGTGGTCATAGCTATAATTGTAAAAATTTTTCATTTATGCACGAAACGGCATGTATACATTTTGTTACGAAAGCAACGAATGAAGAATATAGTGCACTCCCGATCACAGCTGAGGAAGCACGCTGTATCGAGAACATTACGAAGAGTCAGAATTGACTCGAAACGTCAGACGGTTATGTCAGAATCCCAGCCACTAACCACTGGGATAAAAGGGCTTGTTTATATAGCGGGTGAGTGCGCCCATAACCCCCCAGGCCGACATGCCTGTAACCCTTCCCTAGGATCATCGGGGATCCCCAGTGGACCTCTGACACCCCCCCGCACTGGGATGCCCGAGGTGCACACACCGGGAATCGAACCCGAGACCTTCGCTCTGATACCATGTCAGAATCCCAGCCACTAACCACTGGGATAAAATGGCTTGTTTATATAGCGGGTGAGTGCGCCCATAACCCCCCAGGCCGACATGCCTGTAACCCTTCCCTAGGATCATCGGGGATCCCCAGTGGACCTCTGACAGGTTAGGATGCATCTGGACCGTCGGAGCAGGTGGCATCGGGCAGCTGCAGGCGCGAGGGTTTTGGCGGGAACGGTTTCGTAACTGTACGCGCCGCACGGTTGGAATGAATTTGAATATTGGAATGTACCCTTTTAAAGTACATGTATATATATTTTTTTTATACACGTATAGAGAGATGTGTATATATATATAAGTTATACACATGAATATATATATATATATAAATAAATTTATATATACATGCACTCTCTATAGGTACTCTAAGGGGTACATTCCAATATTCAATTTCATTCCAACCGTGCGGCGCGTACAGTTACGAAACCGTTCCCGCCAAAACCATCGCGCCTGCAGCTGCCCGATGCCACCTGCTCCTGTCAGATTATGTTATTTGTCTAGCCTGCAGTGGGGTGCTCAATAGTGAGTACAACCCCTTAGGGTTTCCTATATGTATCCTGCTGCTTGCTAGTTCAAATCATCATTCCCATTCTCACTTCTCCAATTCTCCTTCGTATACCACAAACCCTAGTCCTAGGGCACAACCTACTACCTCCTACTGTGGCCTAGGCTACTAAGCCTAGGCCACGCTCCTATTCTTCTCAACATGGTATCTAGAGCGGGCAAGATCCTGCTGCCTAGCTCAACGGGCCCACCAACTGCTTCCGCTGCCCTACTGTTCGCCGCGCGCTCCGTGGTGCGCGGCACTGGATTTTTCTTCCCGCCACGCGCTTCGAGCGTGTGGCGGCTTATTCTACCCGCCGCGCGCTCGGGGCGCGCGGCGGTTATCCCGTCCGTCGAGGCGCCCTCCGGGGGGCCTGCGTGCTGCTCCCTGCCGTCGCATGGCGCGGCGCCTTCAGGGGGCCCGCCCCTGCTCGTCGCGGCGCCCCCCCCCTGGGTGCCGCTCCTACTCGTCGCGACGCCCCTGCGGGACCCGCGCGGCGTCGCCCTGCTCGTCGCGACACCTCTGCGGGACCCGCGCGGCGTCGCCCCTACACGACGCGACGCCCCCTGGGCGCCGTCACTGGTCGTCGCGGCGCCTTCCGGGGGCCCGCCTGCTGCTCTCCCCCCGTCGCCCGTCGCTCGCGACACCGCCCCTGCAGCAGCTCGCGACGCCGCCCCTGCAACAGCGCGCGAGCCGCCCCTGCGCCAGCGCCATCGCTCCTGGAGCGGCCACCCCTGGTGCAGCCGCCCCTGGACTCGCCACCCCGCCCCTGGAGCCGCCGCCCCTGGTGCAGCCGCCCCTGGACCCGCGACCCCGCCCCTGGAGCAGCCGCCCCTGGTGCTGCCGCCCCTGGACCTGCGCCGTCGCCCAGGGAGCAGCCGCCCCTGGACCTGCGCCGCCGCCCCTGGAGCAGCCGCCCCTGGTGCAGCCGCCCCTGTACCCGCGACGCCGCCCGTGGAGCAGCCGCCCCTGGTGCAGCCGCCCCTGGACCTGCGCCGCCGCCCCTGGAGCAGCCGCCCCTGGTGCAGCCGCCCCTGTACCCGCGACGCCGCCCGTGGAGCAGCCGCCCCTGGTGCAGCCGCCCCTAGTGTCAAACTATATGTGCTGCATATTGTCTAGGCTGTAGTGGGGTAGCCACTTATGGGGTACAACCCAATTAGGGTTTACTACTTGTACTCCTGCATCCTGTTAGTTCATTCATTCCTGCTGCTAGTTTCTAACATGGTTTCAGAGCACTAAGGTCCGTAGGACCGTTTTTTTTTTTTTTTTTCGGGCCCACCTACCGCTGCGGTTACCGCGCTACCCCACGTACCTGCCTGCCTTGCCTTGCCTTGTGACGTGCTGCACATGCGCTGCCTCCTGCTGCCCTAGGCCAGCGCGCTGCCCCTAGAGGCCCGTAAGGCCCGCGCGCCGCCTCTACACGCCCGTCAGGCCCGCACACAGCCCCTGCAGACCGTTAAGCACACTGCTGCCGCGCGCTGCCCGCACCGAGTCGCGCGCAGCAAGCTGCAGCCGCGCGCAGCCCGCACCGAGTCGCGCGCAGCCCGCTGCAGCCGCGCGCAGCCGCGCGCAGCCCTCTAACCCTACTCAGGTGATACTGTTAAACTGTATTATGCTTGTAGGCTGTAGTGGGGTAGCCAATATGGGGTACAACCCCAACTAGGGTTTCATATTTGTACCCAAACTTCTGCTAGTTCATCATTCTTGCCTAGTGATTCTGACATGGTATTCAGAGCAGGAGGTCCCTAGGACCTACCGACCGTTTTTTTTTTTAAGGGCCCACCACCGCTCGCATGCGGTTACCACGCTACCCCGTGCCCTAGCCTCGTAGCGCCCTCGTGCGCCCTCGTTAGCGCCCTCGCGCGCCCCTCGTTAGCGCCCTCGCGCGCACCCTCGTTAGCGCCCTCGCGCGCCCCTTCGTTAGCGCCCTCGCGCGCCCCTTGCTAGCGCCCTCGCGCGCCCCTTCACTAGCGCCCTCGCGCGCCCCTCGCCGAGCCGCCCGCTCGCAGCCCGCCCGCCCGCTCGCTGCCCGCTTCGCGGCCCGCTCACTACGCAGCCCGCCCGCCCGCTCGCTGCCCGCTTCGCGGCCCGCCCGCTTCGCAGCCCGCTCGCTCGCTGCCCGCTTCGCGGCCCGCCCGCTTCGCAGCCCGCTCGCTCGCTGCCCGCTTCGCGGCCCGCCCACTTCGCAGCCCGCCCGCCCGCTCGCTGCCCACTTCGCGGCCCGCCCGCTTCGCAGCCCGCTCGCCCCGCTGCCCGCTTCGCGGCCCGCCCACTTCGCAGCCCGCCCGCCCGCTAGCTGCCCACTTCGCGGCCCGCCCGCATCGCAGCCCGCTCGCCCCGCTGCCCGCTTCGCAGCCCGCCCGCCCGCCCGCTGCCCGCTTCGCGGCCCGCCCGCCTCGCAGCGTCGCCCGCCCGCCGTGCTGCCCGCTTGCAGCGCCGCCTGCCCGCCGCGCTGCCCGCTTCCCGGCCCGTCCGCCGCGCTGCCCGCTCGCAGCGTCGCCCTCCCGTCGCGCTGACCGCTTGCAGCGCCGCCTGCCCGTAGCGCCAGCCTCGCCCGCTGCTCTCTATCCGTGCACAGTCGCCTTCCCCTGCTGCGGCAGCTTGCGTTACTCTGTCACACTGTCGCTATGGCTTCCATCCGCGTGCTGTCGTTCGATGCTGAGGGCCGCCCTGTGCGGTTCACCGCTTGGCTAGATGACCTGCAGCTGTTCCTCCTGAGCGATAGCAAGGAGCATGTGTCGCTCTATGATTACGCGTCTGGTGCTGCGCCTGCCCCTCCTGCCACAGCTGAGCTTAGTGTTCGTTCCCACTGGCAGACTCGTGACGCAGCTGCTCGCCTAGCCATTCGCAGTCACCTGCCGTTAGCTGAGCTAGAGCATTTTGGCGACTGCAAATCCGCTAAGGCCCTGTACGACGCTGTCGTCGCTCGCTACTCCTCGCCTGCCACAGCCGAGCTTAGCCGCCTCATGCTGCCGTACCTGTTCCCCGATCTGTCCACCTTTACTACAGTCGCCGATCTTATCACCCACCTTCGCACTAGTGATGCTCGCCTGCGTGCCGCCCTTCCCACCGAGTTCTGCGCTAAGAACCCCCCTCCACTGTACTGGACACTCCACTTCATAGTCACCCGTCTCCCTGACACCCTCCGCTCAGTTCGAGACCACTTCCTTGCTCGCTGTCCCACTGAGCTCACAGTCGCCCTCCTAGAGGAGCACCTGCTCGCGGCCGAAAAGAGCATTGTAGCTGTCGGTGCTGCTCGTGGCGCTCCTCGCACCCCCATCTTTGAGGGGTGTTCTCCCTCTCCCCTCGCTCCCTCCTACGCTGCTGCTGCTGCTGTTGACTTCCTTGGTGCTGAGTCTGTTGGCGCTGCTTCTACTCCTGGTGGGAGGCGCCGCACCGGCAAGGGCAAGGGGGGCAAAAGTGGTGGTGGTGGCACTGGGGGGGGAGGAGGTGGGGGAGGTGGGGGGGGAGGCGGTGCTGGAGGGAGCGGTGGCGGGAGCGCTGGTGGGAGTGGGGTCGGTGGTGGAGACGGGGGCGGCGGAGGAAGCAGTGGCAGTAGTGGCGGCGGCGGCGGTGGCGGCGGTGGCGGTGGTGGCGGTGGTGGCGGTGCCGGTCGGAGCGGTGGTAGTGGTGGCGGCGGAGGTCGGAGTGGAGGCACTGGCTCGGGCCAGAGCTCCCAGCAGCAGCAGCGTCCCCAGACGACCCAGCAGCTTCGTGAGTGGCTTGCTCAGCGTGGGACGTCGGGGGCCAGTGCCCGCTGTTCTTATGTCATTCGCACAGGTGACCGCAAGGGACAGACGTGTGGGAGGTTCCACACCCCGTACCGCTGCTTCTCCCGCCTTGACGACGCTTGGCGTGAGGAGATGGGTGCGGATGTTGAGCGCCCCCGCTGGGCTGAGCTCATGAGGGCTGGTGTTGATGTCTTTGCTCTTGACTATGATGCTATTATTGCTGCCATGTATGCATTGACTGTTAGTGCCGAGGGAGACTGTTACTTGTGTGTGCCGCCTGACCCAGGTATAGAGCCCGCTGCCCTGGGTACTAGTGAGTCTGCTCTCTCTGGTATGGTGCCCCCTGTACTTGCTCCCCCCAGTGCTGTCCCGGCTGGTTTCGAGTCTGCTCTCTCAGGTACAGCACCCACAGAGACTCCTCTCTCAGGTACCGCACCGGCTGAGGCCTGTCACACCTTCACCCTTGACTCAGGTGCTTCCCGTTGCTTCTTCCGTGACAGTACTGAGCTCACACCGCTTCCTGCACCGGTCCCAGTCTCCTTGGCTGACCCCTCTGGGGGCCCAGTCCTTGCCCAGTCCACCACTGTCCTCCCTTGTCCGGCGGTTCCGTCTGGCTCGTTGTCGGGTTTCCACCTCCCCTCGTTCTCGACGAACCTGGTGAGCAACGCTGTCCTCCAGGATCAGTGGGTTGACACCTTTACCCCTGGCGGACAGCGTGTGGCGATCTGCACGTGCTCCAGGACCGGCCGTCACCTGGCTACGTTCACCCGTCGGCCGGGGTCGAGTCTCTACACACTGACCACTGCGTCTCCCCAGGTAGCTGCTGTCGGTCAGGTGTCTGCGTCAGGTCTGGTGGCCCACGCCTGTGAGTGTCGTTCCCTGTCGCACCAGACTCTTCTCTGGCACCACCGCCTGGGTCACCCCTCCTTGCCACGCCTTCGTGGCATGCACCGTCGCCTCCTTGTGTCCGGTCTTCCCAGGTCCCTCCCTCCCCTCCCTGCCTCGCCTGCGCCGCCTTGCCTTCCTTGCGTCGAGGGGCGGCAGCGCGCCGCCCCTCACTCCTCCTCGTTCCCCCCGACAGAGGCTCCTCTGGAGACCCTCCACCTGGACGTGTGGGGCCCAGCCCGCGTTCGTGGTCAGGGCGGTGAGCGGTACTTTTTGCTGGTTGTCGACGACTACTCGCGTTACACCACGGTCTTCCCCTTGCGCACCAAGGGTGAGGTCCCTGCTGTTCTGATCCCTTGGATCCGCACGGTTCGTCTCCAGCTCCGCCGCCGTTTCCAGACGGATCTTCCTGTCCTGCGTCTGCACTCTGACAGAGGTGGTGAGTTTTCCTCCGATCTCTTGAGGACCTTCTGTCAGGCGGAGGGCATCGAGCAGACCTTCACGCTTCCGGACTCCCCACAGCAGAATGGGGTTGCTGAGCGCCGCATTGGCCTGGTCATGGAGGTCGCTCGTACCTCCTTGGTCCACGCGGCGGCTCCCCATTTTCTGTGGCCGTTTGCTGTCCGGTACGCCGCGCATCAGCTCAACCTCTGGCCCCGTGTCTCCTTGCCGGAGACCTCGCCCACACTGCGTTGGACGGGGGAGGTTGGCGATGCGTCGCGCTTCCGGGTGTGGGGTGCTCGTGCCCTTGTCCGCGATACGTCCGCGGACAAGCTCTCCTCCCGCACGCTTCCCTGTGTCTTCCTTGGCTTTGTCCCTGACGCGCCTGGCTGGCAGTTTTACCACCCCACCTCGCGCCGGGTCTTCGCCTCTCAGGATGTCACCTTTGACGAGTCGGTCCCTTTTTACCGTCTCTTCCCCTACCGCACTGCCCCCCTCCCTCCCCCGCCGCTTTTCCTTGCTCCTGGTCCCCCTCCGGTAGACCCCCTTCCCCCTCAGGGTCCTGCTCCTTCAGGTGTCTCTCAGGTAGACCCTCCTCCCGTCGCTGAGCCTGTCGAGGTCACAGGTGACTCAGGTGCTGCTGCGGGTGGTGCTGCTGGGAGTGCTGAGCCTGGGGGTGCTGAGCCTGGGGGTGCTGGGCCTGGGGGTGCTGGGGCTGCAGGTGCTGGGACTGAGGGTGCTGGAGTTGAGGGTACGGTGCCTGAGAGTATGGAGCCTGGGGGTGCTGCGCCTGGGGGTGCTGAGTCTGCGGGTGCGGGGCCTGGGAGTGCTGGGACTGCGGGTGCTGGAGCTGAGGGTACTGTGCCTGAGAGTTTGCCGCCTGGGGGTGCTGCGACTGGGGGTGCTGAGCCTGCGGGTACTGAGCCTGCGGGTACTGAGCCTGGGGGTGCTGCTACTGAGCCTACGGAGCCTCGGGTTACTGCGTCTGGGGGTGCTCCGGTTCGGGGTGCTGAGCAGTCTCTCACACCGCAGCAGCTTCGCGACTGGTACGTCCGACGCTTTCGCCGTCCTAGTGGCTCGGCTGGAGTTTGGGGTGCTGGAGCTGCTCGTCCTGGGGGTGCTCGTACTGGGGGTACTGGAGCTGCCGGGACTGGCTGTTCTGGGAGCACTGTGACTGGAGCTGCTGGAGCTGGGGACTCTGGCGCTGGCGGTGCTAGCGGAGTTGGAGCTGCCGACTCTGGGGGTGGCGCTGCTGCTGGTGCTGCGGACCCACCTGGTGGAGCTGCTGCTGGTGCTGAGGAGTCGGACGGTGGAGCTGCTGCTGGAGCTGGGGACCCGGCCGGTGGAGCTGCTGCTGGTGCTGTGGACCCGGACGCTGGAGCTCCTACTGGTGCTGAGGACCCGGCCGCTGGAGTCCCGTCTGCTTCTGGAGACGCTGCGCGGCCGCGACCGTACTTCGTACCGCTCCTTCAGCAGGTTCTTGGGCAGGCTCCTCCTCCTTGTCCTCCTCCCTCCGTAGGGTGTCCTCCGCCTGTCCAGCCGCAGTCACAGTTACCGCCTGCCTCGCCTCTCCCTGCTCCCTCTCCTTATACTGGTCCCACAGGAGGTCTTACAGAGCGTCGTGAGCCTGAGTCTCGTCCTGCGTCGCCTGTTCGTCCTGCTCGCACTGGTAGTCGTGTCCGTCGTGAGCGTCCTCCTCCTGTCCCAGGCACTCACTACATGACTCTGCGTCCCTCTACTGCTCCTCGGCGTGTCCCTCTACCGTCTCCTCCTGCGTCCTCTTTGCCTGCCGTTCCGGACCCTGAGTCTGACCGGTATCGCGCTGAGCACCCTACAGTCACGCGTCTCCTTGCTACTGTTGTCACTGACCCCACCTTTGAGTCCTCGGCTGCGTCTGCTCTGGTCGCTGAGTTGGTTGACTTTGCTGCTGCCTGTCGTCTAGACTACGCTGCTAGCCTTGTCGCTGAGTCAGAGTCTGCGTCTGTCTGTCCTCCGTCCGTTGGGGGTGAGTGTGCTCTTGGCACGGACGTCCTTGAGGACAGGCAGGAGGACTTTGACTCTCTTGCGGCTGCTGTACCTCATCTCGTGGCCTGGTTGCTTGCCCCTGAGGGAGACCCGGATGCACTAGACATCCCCACTCCGCGCACTTACGCAGAGGCGATCTCGGGTCCCTACTCCTCTCAGTGGCAGACAGCCATGGACGCAGAGATGGCATCCTGGAAGTCCACAGGCACCTACGTCGACGAGGTTCCCCCTCCTGGGGCGAACATCGTCGATGGCATGTGGATTTTCAGGGTGAAGCGGCCGCCAGGTTCTCCGCCTGTCTTCAAGGCTCGTTACGTTGCTAGAGGCTTCAGTCAGCGTCAGGGGGTCGACTTCTTCCAGACCTTCTCCCCCACCCTGAAGATGACCACTCTTCGGGTTCTGCTGCACGTTGCTGCTCAGTGTGACTACGAGCTTCACTCTCTTGACTTCAGCACAGCGTTCCTGCAGGGCAGCCTGCACGAGGAGATCTGGCTGCGCCGCCCACCTAGCTTTACTGGGTCGTTTCCCCCTGGTACCCAGTGGAGTCTCCGCCGGCCAGTCTACGGTCTCCGCCAGGCGCCACGTGAGTGGCACGACACACTGAGGACTACTCTTGCGGCTCTTGGGTTCGCGCCGTCTACTGCTGACCCGTCGCTGTTTCTGCGCACAGACACGTCGCTGCCGCCGTTCTACATCCTCGTGTACGTCGACGACTTGGTCTTTGCTACTGCTGACACTGAGGCACTCGCTCGTGTGAAGTCGGAGCTGCAGAAGAGACACACCTGCACTGACCTGGGTGAACTGCGTAGCTACCTTGGCCTGCAGATCACCCGGGACAGAGCTCGCCGCACCATCACCCTGACTCAGTCACACATGGTGCAGCAGGTCCTTCAGCGCTTCGGCTTCCAGTTCTCCTCACCACAGGCCACACCTCTGGCTACCAGCCACTCGCTCTCAGCTCCACCTTCGGACGAGCCCGTAGAGCCGAGTGGCCCGTACCCAGAGCTTGTAGGCTGCCTCATGTACCTGATGACTTGCACGCGACCTGACCTCGCGTACCCTCTTAGCATCCTTGCTCGTTACGTTGCGCCTGGGAGACACAGGCGAGAGCACTGGGAGGCTGCTAAGAGGGTGCTGCGTTACCTGTGCAGTACATCAGGCATGGGGCTGGTGCTTGGAGGACGCGACAGAGTTGTCCTCACTGGTCACTCGGACGCCTCTTGGGTGGACGACCTGGCTACGCAGCGGTCGTCACAGGGTTACACCTTCAGCCTTGGCTCTGGTTCTGTCTCGTGGCGGTCCACCCGCTCTTCCTCTGTTCTCGGCTCTAGTTGTGAGGCTGAGATCTACGCCACAGCCATGGCTGCACAGGAGTTACGCTGGCTCACCTACCTGCTGACTGACTTGGGAGAGCGGCCTAGTTCTCCTCCAGTTCTGTACGGTGACAACAAGGCGGCTCTTGCCTTGTGTCAGGAGCACAGACTGGAGCACAGGACGAAGCACATTGCTCTTCGCTACTTTCTTGCTCGAGAGCTTCAGCAGCGCGGTCAGCTTCGGCTTGTGTACGTGGACTCGAAGGCCAACACTGCTGATATCTTCACCAAGGCGCTCCCGCCTAGTGATCATCAGCGACACTGTACTTCTTTAGGCCTTGTGTCCACGTTTCCTCACTTGCTCACTGCTTGACATTCTTTGTACTGTACTTTATATATATCTTGTTGCTTGCTTGCTAGGTTTTTGATCACTGTGTTGCTTGTCTTGTACTATATCTAGCACTGCATGTGAACTGGCCTTGTGGCCTTTACTTGTGCTCGGAGTGTGGTGACGTTGTGATCCACCCTGGGCTTTGCTTTGCTTTGCTGGACTGGTCTTGTGACCCTTTGTTCTCCCCCACTTTGCCTATGGGGGTGTGTTAAACTGTATTATGCTTGTAGGCTGTAGTGGGGTAGCCAATATGGGGTACAACCCCAACTAGGGTTTCATATTTGTACCCAAACTTCTGCTAGTTCATCATTCTTGCCTAGTGATTCTGACACCCCCCCCCTGGGTGCCGCTCCTACTCGTCGCGACGCCCCTGCGGGACCCGCGCGGCGTCGCCCTGCTCGTCGCGACACCTCTGCGGGACCCGCGCGGCGTCGCCCCTACACGACGCGACGCCCCCTGGGCGCCGTCACTGGTCGTCGCGGCGCCTTCCGGGGGCCCGCCTGCTGCTCTCCCCCCGTCGCCCGTCGCTCGCGACACCGCCCCTGCAGCAGCTCGCGACGCCGCCCCTGCAACAGCGCGCGAGCCGCCCCTGCGCCAGCGCCATCGCTCCTGGAGCGGCCACCCCTGGTGCAGCCGCCCCTGGACTCGCCACCCCGCCCCTGGAGCCGCCGCCCCTGGTGCAGCCGCCCCTGGACCCGCGACCCCGCCCCTGGAGCAGCCGCCCCTGGTGCCGCCGCCCCTGGACCTGCGCCGTCGCCCAGGGAGCAGCCGCCCCTGGACCTGCGCCGCCGCCCCTGGAGCAGCCGCCCCTGGTGCAGCCGCCCCTGTACCCGCGACGCCGCCCGTGGAGCAGCCGCCCCTGGTGCAGCCGCCCCTGGACCTGCGCCGCCGCCCCTGGAGCAGCCGCCCCTGGTGCAGCCGCCCCTGTACCCGCGACGCCGCCCGTGGAGCAGCCGCCCCTGGTGCAGCCGCCCCTAGTGTCAAACTATATGTGCTGCATATTGTCTAGGCTGTAGTGGGGTAGCCACTTATGGGGTACAACCCAATTAGGGTTTACTACTTGTACTCCTGCATCCTGTTAGTTCATTCATTCCTGCTGCTAGTTTCTAACATGGTTTCAGAGCACTAAGGTCCGTAGGACCGTTTTTTTTTTTTTTTTCGGGCCCACCTACCGCTGCGGTTACCGCGCTACCCCACGTACCTGCCTGCCTTGCCTTGCCTTGTGACGTGCTGCACATGCGCTGCCTCCTGCTGCCCTAGGCCAGCGCGCTGCCCCTAGAGGCCCGTAAGGCCCGCGCGCCGCCTCTACACGCCCGTCAGGCCCGCACACAGCCCCTGCAGACCGTTAAGCACACTGCTGCCGCGCGCTGCCCGCACCGAGTCGCGCGCAGCCCGCTGCAGCCGCGCGCAGCCCGCACCGAGCCGCGCGCAGCCCGCTGCAGCCGCGCGCAGCCCGCACCGACCCGCGCGCAGCCCGCTGCAGCCGCGCGCAGCCCGCACCGAGCCGCGCGCAGCTCGCAGCTGCCGCGCGCAGCCCGCGCCGAGCCCACGCAGCCCGCGTCGAGCCGCGCGCGGCCTGCTACGGCCTCGCGAGGCCCGCGCGCGGCCCGCAGCAGCCCGCGCCGAGCCGCGCGCGGCCTGCTACTGCCTCGCACGGCCCGCGCGCGGCCCGCAACAGCCCGCGCCGAGCCGCGCGCGGCCCGCTACTGCCTAGCGCGGCCGCGCGCGGCCTGCATCAGCTTAGCGCGCTGTCAGCGCAGCCCGCGCCGAGCCGCGCGCGGCCCTCTGCCTCGGCCCCGACCTGCCGCTGATGCGGCCCCGCCCTGCAGCTGCCACGGCCCCGACCTGCCGCTGATGCGGCCCCGCCCTGCAGCTGCCACGGCCCCGACCTTCCGGTGAAGCGGCCCCGCCCTGCAGCTGCTTCGGCCCTGCTCTGCAGCCGGTGTTGCGGCCCCGACGTCGCCGCTGTCGAGCGCCGGCCCTGCTCGCCCGGTGAGCGCCTGCTCTCCCAGCCTTTGGTGAGCGACAGCCTGCCTGCCTGCCTGCCTGCCTGCCTGCGCGCCTGCCTGCCTGCCTGCCGGCCTGCCTGCCTGCCTGCCGGCCTGTCTGTCTGTCTGCCTGCCTGCCTGACGGCCTGCCTGTCTGCCTGCCTGCCTGCCTGCCTGGCTGCCTGCCTGCCTGCCGGCCTGCCTGCCTGCCTGCCTGCGCGCCTGCCTGCCTGCCTACCGGCCTGACTGCCTGCCTGCCGGCCTGCCTGTCTGTCTGCCTGTCTGCCTGCCTGCCTTCCTGCCTGCCTGCCTGCCTGCCTGCTTGCCTACCTGCCTGCCACGCCTGCCCTGCCCGCGCTGCTGCTGCTGCTACTGCTACTGGCAGGTGGCCAGATGCAGCTCCAGCGACGTTCACGCGAGCCTCTCACGCCCCAGCAGCTTAGTGAGTGGTATACTAGTTGGGGTTGTCGCGGTAGCCGTCGTAGCTGTCGCCCTGGGGCTGGTCAGTTGGGAGCGTCTAGCAGTGGCCAGCTGCAGCTGCAGGGGCGTCCACGCGAGCCACTTACGCCTCGGCAGCTCCAGGAGTGGTACGCTCAGTGTAGCAGGTCTACCCGTACAGTTCGCTGCCCGTACGTCATTCGCACAGGTGCTAGGACTGGTCAGCCTTGTGGGACGCTTGGTCACACACAGTCCCGCTGCTTCGCCCGTCTGAGCGACGCCTGGCGCACAGTGTTTGGCGACGAGGCTGAGCTCCCCACCTGGCTGGAGCTGCATGGACAGAGGGTAGATATCTTTGCGCTTGACTATGATGCTATTCTCACTGCCATGTATGCCTTGTCTACTAGTGCTGACCGTGCCTGTTACCTGTGCGTACCGCCTGACCCTGGTGAGGCTGCTGCCCTAGGTGCTAGTGCGTCTCCTGCTCTAGGTGCTGGTGAGGCTGCTGCTCTCGGTGCTAGTACGTCTACTGCTCTAGGTACTGGTGAGGCCGTGGCTTCAGGTGCTGGTGACTCTGCTCTCTCTGGTACTGCGCCCACTGCGGTCTCGCACACCTTCACCCTTGACTCAGGAGCTTCCCGCTCCTTCTTTCGCGACTGCACCGCACTCACGCCGCTCAGTCGGCCAGTCCCGGTCTCCCTGGCGGACCCCTCTGGGGGTCCAGTCATTGCCCACCACTCCACGGTTCTGCCGTGTCCGGCCGTCCCGTCTGGCTTCCTGTCAGGTCTTTACCTTCCCTCGTTCTCTACGAACTTGGTGAGTGGAGCTGACCTCCAGGATGGGGGGGTTCACCAGTTCACTCCTGCGAGTCAGCGAGTGACTCACTGTACGTGTGCTAGGACGGGCCGGCACTTGGCCACGTTCACCCGTGCACCTGGCTCGAGTCTGTACACACTGACCACTGCGTCCCCTCAGGTAGCTGCGTCTGCGTCTACGTCTGGTCAGCAGGCGGCCCCCTGCGAGTGTCGCGCTTTGTCGCACGACACTCTCCTGTGGCACCACCGCCTTGGTCACCCCTCCTTGCCTCGCCTGCGTAGCATGCACTCTCGCTCCCTGGTCTCTGGTCTCCCCAGGTCTCTGCCTGCCCTCCCTCCCTCGCCTGCGCCGCCCTGCATTCCTTGTGTCGAGGGGCGGCAGCGCGCCGCTCCTCACTCCTCCTCGTTTCCTCCCACAGAGGCTCCACTGCAGACGCTCCACTTGGACGTGTGGGGCCCAGCCCGCGTCCGGGGACAGGGCCACGAGCGGTACTTCCTGCTGGTTGTCGACGACTACACGCGTTACACCACGGTCTTCCCCTTGCGGAGCAAGGCGGATGTCCCTGCTGTTTTGATCCCCTGGATCCGCGCAGTTCGTCTCCAGCTCCGCGAGCGGTTCCGGTCGGACTTTCCTGTCCTGCGTCTGCACTCTGACAGAGGTGGTGAGTTCTCCTCCAACCTCTTGGCAGCCTACTGTGCGGAGCACGGCATCGCCCAGTCGTTCACGCTTCCGGCCTCTCCGCAGCAGAATGGGGTTGCTGAGCGCCGCATTGGCTTAGTCATGGAGGTCGCTCGTACCTCCCTGATCCATGCGGCTGCCCCCCATTTTCTGTGGCCGTTTGCGGTCCGGTACGCCGCGCATCAGCTCAACCTCTGGCCCCGTGTCTCCTTGCCGGAGACCTCGCCCACACTGATGTGGACGGGGAAGGTTGGCGATGCGTCGCGTTTCCGGGTCTTGGGTGCTCGTGCCTTTGTCCGCGATACCACCGCGGACAAGCTCTCCGCCCGCGCTGTTCCCTGTGTCTTCCTTGGCTTTGTCCCTGACGCGCCTGGTTGGCAGTTTTACCACCCCACCTCGCGCCGTGTCTTTGCGTCTCAGGACGTCACGTTCGACGAGTCGGTTCCCTTTTACCGTCTCTTCCCCTACCGCACTGCCTCGCTCCCCCCCCCGCCGCTCTTCCTCGCTCCAGGTGCTCCCCAGGTAGACCCCCTCCCCGCTCCCGGTCCTGCTCCTTCAGGTGTTTCTCAGGTAGACCCTCCTCCCTTGACTGCGCCGGTTGAGGTCACTGGTGACTCAGGTCCTACTGAGAGTGGTCCTGCTCGGGGTGCTACTTCTGGGGGTGCTGAGCCTAGGGGTGCGGAGCCTGGGGGTGCTGAGCCTGGGGGTACTGAGCCTGCGGGTGCGGAGCTTGAGGGTGTAGAGCCTGGTGGTGCTGAGCCTGAGTGTGAGGGGTCTGGGGGTGCTGAGCTTGGCAGTGGTTCTGGAGCCGCTGGAGGTACTGGTGCTGAGGGTACTGACACCGGAGGTTCTGGAGCCGTTGGGGGTGCGGGCGCTGAGGGTTCTGAGTCTGCTGTTGCGCGGTCTCCTTGGAGTGGCCACCTTCGTCCACGTGTGCCTCTCACCCCACAGCAGCTGCAGGACTGGTACGGTCGCCGTCAGCGCCGCGCTGCTGGAGCTCGGAGTCGTGCTGGTCCTTTGTCTACTGGAGGTGCTGGAGTTGCTGGTTCTGGAGGGGCTCGTGCTGGAGACACTGAGGCTGGAGACCCTGGGACTGGAGGTGCTGGCTCTGGGGGTGCTGCTGCTGGAGACACTGAGGTTGGAGACCCTGGAGCTGGAGGTGCTGGTTCTGGGGGTGCTGCTGCTAGAGACACAGAGGTTGGAGACCCTGGGACTCGAGGTGTCGGCTCTGGGCCTGGAGGTACTGGAGCTGCTGGAGGTACTGGAGCTGCTGGAGGCACTGGAGCTGCTGGAGCTGCTGGTACTGGTGCAGCTGCGCTGACACGACTGTTCTTCGCTCCGCCGTCTCCGTCGTCTCTGCCGCCGTCTGCCTCTGTTCTTCGTCAGGTTCTTACTCTTCCGTCGTCTACTGGTCTTCCGTTACAGTCTGGCTCACCGCTGCCTGCTCCTTCTCCTTACGCTGAGCTGACTGGTAGTCCTGCTGAGCGTCGTGAGCCTGCGTCGCGTCCTGTTTCGCCTGTTCGTCCTGGTCGTACCGGTCGTCGTGTTCCTCGTTCGCGTCAGCCGGCTGTCCCCGGCGCACACCTCGTAGTCCGTTGTCCTTCCTCTGCTCCGCCGCCTGTTCCTCTGCCGTCTCCTCCTGCGTCCTCTCTGCCTGCCGTTCCGGACCCTGAGTCTGACCGGTTTCGTACTGAGCACCCTACTGTCACGCGTCTCCTAGCCACTATTGTCACTGACCCGTCGTTTGAGTCTACTGCTGCGTCTGCCTTGGTCGCTGAGCTTGTTGACTTTGCTGCTGCCTGTCGTCTAGACTACACCGCCAGTCTTGTTGCTGAGTCTGAGTCTGTCTGTCCTCCGTCCGTCGGGGGTGAGTGTGCTCTTAGCACGGACGTCCTTGAGGACAGGCAGGAGGAGTTCCAGTGTCTTGCTGCTGCTTTACCTCATCTTGTGTCCTCACTACTTGCCCCTGAGGGAGACCCGGATGCACCAGACATCCCGACTCCGCGCTCTTACGCTGAGGCGATAGAGGGTCCCTACTCCTCTCAGTGGCAGGCAGCCATGGACGCAGAGATGGCTTCCTGGAAGTCCA